TCTCCATCCATTCTCCAGGTGGGACAATCCTGCCCTGCTTGTGGCTCATCGTCCTGGAGTGGGGAGTGGATGCAATTTGGGTGGAGAAAGGGTCTGACACCCCCTCCTCACTCTTTTGTCCCTTTCCCCACCTGGATCAGCTCTGTCCCRGCCTCTGTGATTRGTTCTCAACCCTTGCAGGGTGAACCCCAAGACCAAAGTCACCAAATGTCCCAAACCCCAGTGCCTTGTCCCCTCTTTCCCAGTCCTCGCACATGGAGGACACGTGGGGAGCGGTGGAGAAACCCGAACGCGCCGTTACGTAACGGGGCCGAAGTGTCGGGGCCGCCCTTTGCCCCCCGCTCTCACGGCCCTGACATGTCCCACTTTGCTGTCACCGGGCTGGGGAGGGGCGGTGGGGGAGGGCAGCTGCTCTGGCTGCAGGTCAGGRATGAGCTGAGGGGATGCTCTGCAGTGGGGGAGCTGGGGGGCTCGGAGGCTCGGAGTGATGAGGCTGCCCCAAAAAACAAAAGAATTTCTTGGTTTTGTCCTGATTTGGGATGGGGTGGTGATTTTGGTGGAATGGGAAGTTTGACCCAAGCAAGGAACGGTGATTTTCCTGGTGGGAATTACAAACCCTCTGTGGTCAGGGGGTTCCCTGGGTCTGCCTGGGATGAATTCGGGGTTCTGTATCCCCCTGGGAGATGGGACAGAGAGCACAGGAGGTTTTTGGAAGCAGTGTGGAGATGCCCAGTCCCTCTGCCTGGGTTTTAAATGGCAGAAGGGGTCTGTCCTGTGCCATCCCAGGGTTGCCCATGCCAAGAGGACCAGAAGATGTGCTGGTGAATGACAGGCCACACATGTAGGCACACAGACCACGGCTGGGAGTCTTTATTGAAAACCGGGTAGCTGGGATCCCCRGAGAGGGAGACACATTCCTCCCACTGGGTCCAATTTCCCTTTCCTCTCCCTGCTCAGCCACATGTCCAGCTGAGTGTGGCCATGGGGATGACCCCTGCCTTCTGTCCTTGCCAGCCCCAGCAGCCCCGGGTGGCCACTGGAGGATCTGGTGTTGTAGCCACACTCAGAGCACACTTTGGGCCGGGACCATCCTGATCCGGGCTCTGCAGCATCCGGCAGGRGAAGACTCTGAAGTCCATCAGGAGCCGCTCTGAGGGGCAGATCCAAATGGGGAAAAAGCCGTGTGGAAGGCGAGGGAGGAGCGGATTTGCACATTCAGCATCACCCTCGACGCTTCACCCTCGGGAGAAGAAACCCCCTTGGCAGAACCGGGAAGGTGGAGCCCTGCGCTGCCGTGTCCTGCCCTCCCTCCCGCCCGCTCCGGCMGCGCTCAGGTGCAGCCGCAGGAATCCACGATCATGTCGGGGATGTCGGTTTTGACGATATTGCTGTCGCGGTCGTAATAGAGCAGRGAGAGGGGCCGGCGCTGGGTGGGGACGCAGCAGGAATCCACAGCCGCCGCCGCGCTCGCCGCCTTGATTCGGTTGAGGACGGCGGTGTGGAAAGAAGCGGCGAGACCGGGGATTCCGGCCATGTGCAGCGGGCACAGCCCGGAGCAGTAATTCATGTGGTACCCCTCGGGCTGGATGATCCAGTCCTCCCAGCCGATCTCCTTGAAGTCCACGAAGAATTCCTGGCGGCAGCACATCGGGGAGTCCCCGCCGCAATCGACGCCGCGACGATGGATGCGGTGCGGTGTCCTGGCCCGGGCTTGGGTCACCACAAACGGCCAGTTGGAGTCACTTTGGTGGGATGGGAGCGGGGACCCCCARTCCTCTGGCACCTCCAGTTCCACCGTGAGCCGAGGAATCTCTTGTCCGAAGAGGCTCCGGACAGCTGGTCCGACGTCCAGCGTGGTCCAGCCCGATCTCTGCACYTCCAGCCGTGTTTCGCTGGTCACCGTCATGTTTGGCCCCGCCGGGTCCGGCTGCAGGAGCCTGACGGTGACGGGCTGTGCCCCGGGGCTGGGGGATGCCCAGAACAGGTAGAGGGTGGCCCGCAGGATCTCGGTGYTCCCGGCCACCTCCTGGGAGAAGCGGAAATGCAGGTGGACGCTGTGGGAAGTGGAGGATCCTGCGCACAGAACAAAGAGCAGAGTCAGGAGTTAAGTGATGGCGGGACTCATCTTGTCCCACTCTTTGGGCAGGGACATTTTCCACTATTCCAGGGTGCTCCAAACCCCGTCCAGCCTGGTCATCCCCTCCAGGAATGGGGCAGCTTCTCTGGGCAACCCGTGCCCACCCCCACAGGGAGGAATTTCATCCCAAAATCCCATCTAAACCTCCTCTTTTCCATGTGAAGCCATTCCCCCTTGTCCTGGCACTCCGGGCCCTTGCTCAAAGTCCCTCTCCAGCTTTCTTGTAGGTACTGGAAGGGGCTCTGAGGTCCCCCCGTAACCTTCCCTTCTTCGTTGGCTGCAGATCTGCTGCTCCTCGTGGCCAGGAAAGGGTTTTTTGGGGCCATGAGAGCACTCGGGGCTCCTGGCACAGCTCTGCCCGTGAGGACACCCCCGCCCTCCCCGTGCTCCGAGCCTGGGTTCACCCCCCGGCTCCATTCCAGGCCAGGAGACAGCTCCCCATTGTCCTGGAGTGTGGGAACACAATGCACCGCGGAGCAGCATTGTCCCCGGAGGGCTTTGAGGACACGGGGCCKGCGAGGGGAGCGGAGCACCCCAACCTCACCACGGGGAATTTGGGGCTGGGAAAGCGAGGGTGAGGGGTGCTCTGTGGGATGGGGTGGTGAGGGTGCTGCTCTCCAAAGAAATCCGTGAGCAAAAGTGGGGTACAGGACCCTATTTTTTTGCAGTGATGCTTGTCAGGAGCCCCGAGTGTGTTTTGGGGAGTTCTGTCCTCCCAGAAGCAGCAGATTCTGGAGGGGGATGGGTGGTGAGGCTGCGGCTCTCCAAGGAAAGCTGTGAGCAAAAGTGGGGTATAGGACCCTATTTTTTTGCAGTGATGCTTGTCAGGAGCCCTGAGTGTGTTTTGGGGAGTTCTGTCCTCCCAGAATAGCAGATTCTGGAGGGGGATGGGTGGTGAGGCTGCGGCTCTCCAAGGAAAGCTGTGAGCAAAAGTGGGGTACAGAACCCTATTTTTTTTTTGCAGTGATGCTTGTCAGGAGCCCTGAGAGTGTTTTGGGGAGTTCTGTCCTCCCAGAAACAGCAGATTCTGGAGGGGAATGAGGCACCCACTGCTTTAGGTGGGGTGTGGAGGTGCAGTGGGCTGTGGAGCTCCATCCACACGCTGTGRGCTGACAGGAAATCGAGGCTAAAAATCCCATTTTGGAAAACGTGGCCGTCTGACCCCTCCACCTCCAGCACCAGGGGGAGGGTTCAGTGGAACTGGGCAACAAGTGACAAATTCCAGCAGCACATCTGCCACCCCTGCACGTCCCCTCTGTGAGTATTTTGGGATACTCTCTGGATGCAGGTACAGAAGTTTGGAAGCCTCTCACATCTTCCAGCAGCACTGTTCCCGCCATCCCAGAGCACAACCCGACATTTCCACACACCTCCCACCACTTCACCCCTTCCCTCCACGCCTCCCCCACCCACCATCCGTACACACCTGACTCAGCAAAGCTCAGGATCTCGTATTCCTGCAGCCCCACCGCAGGGCTCCGGGCTGGGGCTGAACCATCCCGGAGCATCCCCGGGAAAGCGGCAGCGTCCGAGCGCTGCGCTCGCATCCTGCGGAGCGCGGTCAGCAGAGCCCCCCGGGATGGAGGATGCGGGATGTTGGGTCTGGCTGGCAAGCGGAGTTTGGCCAGGATGCTCTGCTTGGCCAGCGCCAGGAGCGCGTCCCGCTGCGTTCCGGGGGTCAGCGCGGCCACCCCGCAGGCCGGGCACCACGCGCTTTTGGCGGCCACCACCCGCAGGAGGCTCAGGAGCAGGAGAGCCACGGTGACCGTCATGTCCTGGTGGCGGGAGGTGACAGCGTGGGGGTTCCAGCAGTGTCCGAGAAGACGAACGGGATGAGAGAGCGGCAGCGGCGGGGACAGAAAGAGGAGCAGGGTGGTGGAAGTGGACACAGCGGGAGCTGGGAGCGAGGATGGGCTCGTTCTCCTGACGTGGCCACAAATATTGGCTGATCCCGGGAGAGATAAACGCCCCTGAGCTCCCGCGGAGCCGCCCGGGCAGCGCGGGCAGAGCGGAGCGGCCGCTCCGGTTAAGGTGGAACCGGGCGGATGGTGACGCCGCTCGGGGGGCGCAGAGAGGGGACATCGAGGTCACCCCGGTGCCACATCGGTGCCACATCGGTGGTGCAGAGGGAGATACGTGGTGGGGGCTCCCGGGGACATGGGGGGTGTACTGGAGACCACCGGTGTGGAGTGGGGATCGCGGAGGTGGGGGATGCCCGGGATTTGTGGGGTCCCCGCGGGCGGGGCGATTTCAGGAGGTGGGGAATCCTCAGGGAAAGGGGATCCTGGGGGATCGAAGGGCTGTTGGAGACGGGCGATACCTGAAGATGGGAGATCCCGACAGATGAGGGTCCGCAGGAGGTGGGGGAGCCCCGGGAATGGGATATCCTTGGGAATGGGGGATACTCAGAGAAGGGGAATCCCRGGTGGATGGAGAATCCCGGTGGGATGGATGAGGGACCCCTGGGGAGAGGGGAATCCCCGAGGGATGAGGATCCCTAAGAATAAGGGATCCCCAGAGATGTGGGGCTGGAGAATCCCTGGTGACATGGGACCCCCGGGGGGGTTTGGGACCCYTGGGAAAATGGGTTGTGGGATCCCTGGAGAATTTGGGATCCCCGGGGATGGACAATCCCGGGAGATACGGGACCCCCGCGCGCGGGGGGGGCGGGGTCACGGACGATGGGCGGAGCCTGACTCTAGCCCCTCCCATTTCCCAGCCCCTTTCCATATAAGGTACCACCCCTCTCGGTGGCGCCCCCTCCCCTCCCTCCGCCGCGCCAGGGGGCGCTCACGCCCCTCCCGCCATTACCGGGSCGTAGCGTCCCTCCGGTTGCCACAGCAACGGGAGGGTGGAGCCACGCGGGCGCGGGATGATGACGCAGCGCGCACGGCGCGTTGACGCAGCGCGCACGCCGCGGGGGAGGGGCCGCCTCCTCCTCC